AATGAAAGTGAGGAATGGAAAGGAAAGCAGGTGAGATAACTCAAAACACTCTTAATCGCTTAAATGTGAGAGAGTAAGAAATGAAGCTCTCAAAAGGAGTCAATGTGAAGTCCTCACTCAAAGCTGTGAAGACGGAGCCAGTGGTGTCAGTTGGTGTCTCTGTGACAGGTAGAAAGAACAGTGTCCCTGGCACTTGGTTCATTCTTGGTTTCTGTACCTTCTTTTACTGTTCTTTTGTAGAGTCCATTACACTAGCTGTGCAGAGATAAGCAGTCACCAAACCTTTCTGAGTGTCATTTTTCTCATTTATATTATGGGGCTATAATAGGTATTCTTGGAGCTTTCCAATAGAAGGAAAACGAGCATGGTAAAGGAGAGTGAGTGACCCAGAAAAAAGCCAGCTGGCTGCCAAATAGCCTCAGAAATTGACACCATTAACTTGATAAATTTACTATGGCACATCTATTCTTTGGCCCAGTGAACACAGAAACTGGACTTGATGAACTCACCCAGAAATGTCCAAGAGTCTAATAATAATCATTTAACAATTTAATTGACACAAATTGTGTTCATATGAACTGGTATAGATGCCTGGCATTTGATACTCACAACTGGGAACATCCTTTTCCAATAGATAGAATATTTATATGTTTTTTTTTCCCCCCCTGGGAAACCTGCTTTTCATATTAAAGATTACAGAAATTACATCAAAATAATATTCTTGTGCCTTGTAAAGATGGAATTAGAACAACCAATGGGATTCCCTCCAGGTCATAAGTCTTGCTGAATTAATGCTGCCCTTATAGGGTACACCCTCTGTAATACTAAAATGCCCCATGGGTAGCACTAGATGGTCACTGTAGAATTCTGTTTTTCTACCTCACTTTTTAAAAATGTTTTACACATTTTTTCTTTATATGTGTTCAGGGCCCTGTGTTGGCTTGGTTGTTGCTTCTAAGACAACCACAGGAAAGAATTCTTATCTTTCCTTTTTGTGCGGATTTATAAGATTTTAACCTGGGACCAGCAGTTGGTATAATGGCTATATCGCTGTACTCTCATGTAGTCAACCATGGTTCGATTCTTGGACCTGGTGGCTTAAACTCACACTGGGCAGGTGTGCATGTGTGCCCAAGATCCTGAGAGGAGAATGGACAAGGGATTGTGGCATGGCCATTCCCTCTTGAGGATGATTTCACACTTTCTGTCTCTGTCTCTATCTTTCTGGCAAGCACATGCACCCTATAGCAAAAATCTCTAGCCCCCCCCCAAAAAAAGATTTTAACCTTTCCCTCATTTCTAGCTTTAATTGAGATAATGTGTATAAAACCCACTACATGAAAAGCTGTAAGGTGTAGAAGTCTGAGCATGGATTCTGAAGTCAGACAGACTTGGGCTTGTGTTTTGATTCTATGGTTTCCTGTTGGTAGGACTGTCAACAGTTTACTCACCCACTCTCAGTTCTCTGAGTTCTTCACCTAGGAAATACAGATAAGAACCAAATCAGTCACAGCACTAGTTCTGTGAGGATTCAGTGAGGATGCAGTGGTTATACGAATGTCTGGTCAACAGTGAGAGTCAGTACATGCTAGTTCTTGTTAAATTATCACTATGTATTAGTAACTATAATTAGATATGTGATTCTTCTTCACTTGAGAAGAGGCAGAGAGCTAGAGACTGGAAAGTGTAATAATGCAAATAAGAGTCTTTCATAATGCCTGAAACATGAGAATGCTTAGGAAATGTTCCTTGAATTTGTAAACTTAAGAGTCTACACAGTGGCCGACAAAGAGACAATTTTATCATCTTCTGCATTTAACAATCCTAAAATCCTTTGGGTTCCTGGTAAACAAGGCTGATATCTAATGATTTCACTTCTTAAACTGTTAGAAATTCTAACTCTATTAAAAAAAGGAAGAGTCATGAGAGTTTGTGAATTAAGTTATCGACTGAGGCCCTACTATCTGAGAGACTCCAGATGACCTACTTTATGTTGGTGCTTGGGACCAAAAATAAAGTCTTCACCTTTTATTATCATTAGTTGAATATAAGGCTAAGACTATTCTTCAATTTGCTACTGATTTATTTTCAAGTTATGGATGTGTTAAAAGATCTTCCTATGACTACACTATTTGAATGAGCTTTATTATTCCATAAGTCTGTTACCAAAGTGACTAGAAATAATGGTTCAATTGGCATAAGAGTTGTCAGTCTGTGACCTCAGCCAAACTTGTTCTGACTAGAATTATATGAGCTACACAGCCATGGAAAGCACAAGGTGAATTTGGCCCCAGGATATCCCACTTTGGTCAGTTCAACAGCATTTATGGAGTACATCCTTGGTGTCAAACATTGCATTTGGGGCTGTGAATAAAGAGATAGCCAATATGTGATTTCAGAGGGGGGATTATTTTTAATTCTATTAATAATATTATTATTATTATTTTAATTTGATATGTGATTCTTAATCGAGGAGAAATGCATAGTCTAAAGGGGAAGATGAACCATAAACCTGTGATTTAGAATAATAAGGACACCAACAGGGTTCATACAGTGTATAAAGGAAATAATAAAATAGTGCGATGCTGCCGACCTGATGTTTAACAGACCTTGTTTGCCCTCTCCAGATCAAACTTTTCCTGACCCCACCTACTGCCACGCTCTGCCTTGCAGGAAAGCCCATATTTTATTTTCATGTTCACCACTAACACAGCCATGTATTCAGGGAGGGAGCACCTCCCAGTCTAGAGAGGAGTCTTGGCTACATCTACACCAGCCTTGGTGACTGTAGTCTAATTGCCAGTGATTGCTTTTGACACTGTAATGGCTAATTTTATGTCTCAATTTAGCTAGGCTATGGTATCCAGATATTTGGTCAAATACATTTGGAAGCTGCTGTGAAGTTATATTTTTAGATGAGATTAACAGTCAAATCAGAAGACTGAGTAAAGCAGATTACCCTCAATAATGTGGTTGAGCCTCATCCCATCAGTTGAAGGTCTTAAGGGAAAAAGATTGAGGTCCCCTGTGGAAGAGGGAATCCTGCCTCCAAAATCCTTGGACTCCAATCTGCAACATTCTTTTTTCTCCTAAGCATCCATCCTGCTGGACCACCCTGCAGATTTTAGGTTTGCCAGTCTCCATAATAATGTGAGCCAATTCCCTCAAATAAATCTATCTCTATTTCTCTCCCTCTCACTTGAGCAAGCTCTTATAAAATCCCCCATTCTGTTGGTCTGTTTATCTGGAGAACCCTGAATAATACACTGGACAGAATGAACATGTAATAAACACTTCTATCATGGCATTTGAGAGAAGTCTGCTGGGGGAAAAAAAAGCGTCCCAATAGCACTGGTTACTTTGAACAAATAAAATAAGACAAAAAAGAAGCAAAACATTTAAGGGAACCAAAATCAAAAGAAATCTATTGATTATAACATCTATGGGAACGTCTTTGACTGGACAATGCATATTATATTCACGATGGGGAAATTAATTTGGTTTGGTGTAATGATACACAATGATGAAATTTAAAATAAATAAATAAATTTATATACTTTTAAAAAGCTGCACTAAAGGTGGCAGCATGGAAAGTTGGAAAGGACCCATATCTTTTTATTTTATTTTGTATTTTATTTTGTCATTTATTTATTTATAGATGAGAGAGACAGAGAGAGGAAAAGTGAGAAAGAACCCCCATGGGAGATGATCACACTAATTCCTTCTCTATTTCGCCTTTCAGGATTTTGGACATGCAGATACATGTGCCTAGTGTGTTTTTTTCTAACCACTGGATCTGAGACACACACTGTATAGTCAACCATGTGAGAGCCAGCCACTTTAACCAGCATGTTACCAACTGACACAAATGCATATATTTTTAAGACCCACTTGTAGATTGAGTTAATCATGGAACTGCCTCACTACTGATTTTAGTAAAGAAGTAGCAAACTTATTCTTGGAGCTACTTTGAGTTGAACTTTCTGTTACATGAGTCCAAAACAGTCTTCTAGATTCAGGTCTTTCAGAAGAAGGTTAAAAGAAAGAAAGAAATTAGACCTGGGTCTTTG